TATACGGTCAAAATTCTTCACCTAGACAATACAAATTCCAGACATGGGGATGGCAACAAAAGCCCTCTTTCTTCCGCTGTAAGATATTCAATTCTACAGTGATTCTAATGCCTAACATTCAAACTATAAGGGGGCATATGGATACAAATATATTACACTTACACGATGCATGATGTTCTCCTAAAGAGCTTTCATCGCTTTACACTTCACCATTTGTTAGAAATTACGGAGTTGATTGGACAAAAATCTCTTCTTCACCATCATCCTCATCATCGTCAGCATCACTCACCCAATTGCTGGGATGATGTCGGGATTCATGGATGTTTGGCTGCATTATATCTGAATAGAAAATACAAAAGGCTTTAGGCATGATCCAATCATTCGAGGAAAAGAAGAAGAAAAGCAATTAGGTCAAAGTTCAATAGATGACAGGTTGAAGTATTGATCATACCTTGGACTCCCAGCAAATGATTTGTAGCAAACTGATTCATGGTACTTTGTGCAGTTAAGGCCCAATCTAGTTCATTGTTTTGAAAGACATACAGAGAGAGAGAGAGAGAGAGAGTAGTGCACACTTGTGCATGAACAATATAAAGATGGGTCTCTGCTTGCAAAACTCTTGTGCTGCTGCCAATAACACCATCACAAATAGAAAAACTACACTTTGGAAGGACCAGGAAAAAACTTACACCTCGATCTGCCTCATATAACCAGATGTCTTACCATAAGATTGAAGGCAACGGAACATACATCCACGCATCTACCCAAGACAATAACATGATAGAATACAACAATTTTTGTTGGTATACATAAAGTTTAGAAGTGCTGCACAATAACCTCACATAGCTTGAGATAGAAGTGGAAAGCATTTGATATAGACAAAACCAGTTTCCTCAACGAATATTAGTGCACTTAATATTTTCTGTTTTTCTTTTTTCTTTCTAATTTGTGGTATTTCCACATCTGTTCTCAAGCATGGGTCAATTTCCATGAAGCCACACACAAACAGGACCTCAATAGCATCCTCTCATTGTTAAGATCAAGTATCAGGTTTCTTCAATATTCAGCTCTTACAAATCAATCAAATTGAAATGGATTTTTCCCAATAACTCAAAAAAGACATGATAAACCCGAAAAGGACAGTTTCCATAAACAATTTTGATACCATAAGGACATGAATGCCTTATAAAAATGTGCTCTTCCTGTAACCACAAACAAATATTGACACAACTTGCAATGCTAGAGGTTTGTTTCTCTTCATAGAGAGTTGTTTTTATGACTTAGCATTTATGTAAATGAAAATCAGAAAAGTTCAGATAGTTGAAGACAATCCTTTAAAGGATGTTACTAGAAATTCAACTCAACAAATCTTATGCAAAGCAATCAAAATTTTGTAGTTAGAGAGTCATTTCTCTCATGGTGGACTAAAACTGAAACACACACGTTCAAATGGATGTCCCTATAAATGTGTGATTTGTAAATTTAAAATGATGAATGGATATGCATAAGAAATCATTACGTTGACAAACCATTTCCATGGTAAACATATTTCTTTGTTGATGTACACAATTTTTTCTCGTAATATAGGACATACACATCACCTGACACAAATAAGTTATAACAGTGTTACAGGACTCACTCACCCAAGTCTCAATCTCATCTTGTGTACAACTCGGGTACATAAAAAGAATCCCAAAAAATTGTAAAAAAATGGCTATCTTGTATAAAAAAATTTATATGATTTGGATGTTTAAGGCATAGATTGATCAGTATTTTTTTTTCATAATCCTTATTTTTGTATTTTTCTCTCTTTTTTTGGATTTTTTTGAAATGTCCCCAAGTATAAATCATTTTTTTTCAAAATCCATGTTTCTATACTTTTTTGAAGCATATTTGGACCTTTGAAGGTTGTTTTGGGTTTTATTTTACTTTTTAATACCTTTATTTTATTTTTTCAAAATTTTTATGACTTTCCTATTTTTTTCTATTGCTTTTTGGCATTGTACAGGACACGGCCGAGTCAATTCGGACATGGCCAAGTAACTCGCCTTGGTCATGAGCCAAGTCCCTTTGGCGAGGCGATATTCTAAACACTGCATTATAGCACCTAATAATATATAGCATAATAATGATTTATGATAGTAAAAGATTCATATATTAATTCGAACATCCCCAAAAAACATGCATGTAATGATGTAATTCATATAATTATCTTATAAAAGCAAGGAGCATGCCATACATCTGTAGAAGATAGCCAATTTAAGGATACACTGAATGCACATTCTCCCTCATAGGTGATCCCTTGGAGGCTGCTCTTGCTTTTTCAGGCACCTGTATACCTGAAGCATTTTTTTCTCTTGCATTAGCATTACCTTCCAAAGGAGCTTGTTGGTCATTCCTGCTTGTAGGAATGGCGGCACTTCCTGTAGCAAAACAGATTGCATGTGGTTGGAACACTTGCTTTTCCTACTCTAAATTACTACAATAAATGAAGGAATGCATGCTGTAATAGAACAGTCCATTCGAAATACAGAAAACCATATTCCATTGGGGTCATCACCATCCAATCAAATGATCGATGGTGATGGTGAGAGATTGCAATGCACCATTCTGGTCATGACCAGCTCTGGTGGATCCCTCCCTCCCTCCCAAGGATGCATGCTCTAATAAAACGGTCTATTCGAAATACAGAAAAATAATCTCATCCAGGTCACAATCTATGTTGGGTCCTCCAATTTGTTAATTGAGGGTCCAACCCGGGGAATCAAAGAATTACAAACAGATGTACAAAAAAAGTTAAATTCTATGAATCAAAGACTCAGCATTGCTATCACAAGAATTGCAAGACCCTATAGACAACCTAATATTCTTGCAGAATATATTGCTCTGCAATTAAAAAATAGAGTTTCATTTCGAAAAGCAATGAAAAGTCCATTGAGATCATCACCATCCAATCAAATGATGGATGGTGATGATGAGAGAAATGATGGATGGTGATGGTCAGAAAATGAAATGCACCATTCTGGTTATGGCCAGCTCCGGTGGATCCCTCCCTCCTTCCCTCCTTCACCATGATGACCGCAATGGACTATAGTTTCCCCATTATCCATTGGCTAATAGTATGCTTCCCTTAAGTAAGTATTCACCTGAAAGTTCAGACCAGACTCGGGTATGATCAGAAGGGTTCTCAGAAACAGGAGATGGAGTTGGTGCTCTGGGCCATTCCTGCCTGGATGGATGCAACCTGTTATGAGCTTGGGAATCTGATTCATGATCTGGACGGCTGGGTCGCATGGATGAAGCCAGCATTGGATCTGAGCCGTTTGCTTCTCTAAGCTGGGATACGAGCATTGTGGCCAAGACTAGGGTGGCATCAAAATCTGAACTGGACCCGTCATCTAGACCAAATTTTGGAGCCATTAGAATAGGCCTATCCTTGTCAAAAGAAGCAGTATATGGGAATCAATTAAGCATAGAGGTAATCTGGCTTAAAAGAACAAACTTTGTAACACAAACCATAAAAGATAATAAATAAATTGAAAAGCAAAAAGCAAAAAGCTAAAATTTAGAGCTACTCACTCGCCAGCCTTCTCAAAGAGAAAATGAATGTCAACTTCACAACCCTCACATAATGCAAGAAAGGCCTGTTATTTCAAAGAAAATGTTAAAAGCATGAAATTTATGGTATAATACATTATGTGCGTTTGGCATTCTACGAGTCTCTTCCTTTTTGCATATGGCACCGCCGTGGGACATTGACGTCATGGAAAATTAATACATAGGACATAAAAAACGGAGAACACATTGCTAACATTCCATTTCTCAGTTAATGAAATCTATATGACTTACTAAAAATGTAATCCTACTAAAAATCAATGCAGTGATTCTATTAACATTTGAAAGAAAAATAATGAAACTACTAAAGTACCATGGACAATAGAATTACACAGAAAAACAATTTGAATTAACTAGATTGTCATTGTCTCTGGAATAATAAAACCAAATTTGGGAAAATACTAAAAAATGATGAGGTATCATGATATTAGTGATTCTATTAACATTTGAAAGAAAAATATTGAAACTACTAAAGTACCATGGACAATATGTAATGAATAGAATCACACAAGAAAACAATTTGAATTAACTAGATTGTCATTGTCTCTGGAATAATAGAAACAAATTTGGGAAAAAACTAAAAAATGATGAGGTATCATGATATTGCACTAAAATCATTGGAAGTGAATGTTTTTGTACCTTCAATTCTTTCATGCTAAATGTTACATCTACGGGATCACCAGTGTGAGTATAGAGCAGAAATTCTTCGGCAGGATTGATCCATAACTGGGTATGTAAAGCTGCATCTCTGCTATCTACAATTTAAATATCTAATAAGTTTCCAATGTATGGATATCACTCTCTAAAGAAGCGAGAGACAAAATCAGTTGTACGAACACCTTTGGCGGGGTCTATAAAACTTCTCAGTTCAACTGCTTTCCCTCCCATGGTGCTATCAGCATTAGTAGTTAAGGGTGTGGATTCAGTAGCAATGACTGTTATCTCCTGGAGTGATGCCTGAAAATTAGCTAACAACCTGCTAAAATCACGAGGCTTAATCACAAAATAACTGGGAAATTTCGACTTATCAAGAGAGAGATGCTGAATTTCTGGTTGGATATTGCAAGTAATCCAATAGGTCTTCCTCAAACCTACAATAAGAATCAGGAAGCATCTTACTGGGAATTTGCATAAGAAACCAAATAATGATGGGGACATTAAGATATAGTCATCCATGGAAAACCATCCAATGACGTGATGGACAATGATGGAGAGAGAGTGGGACACACCAAAACATAGTCCATTGGGGTCATCACCATCCAGTGAAATAAATAATGAATGGTGATGGAGAGAGAGTTGGATCCACGAACATCAGGAACATGTCCTGTTCTTGTGGATTCCACTGTCTCTAAATCGCCAGCATCATTTCATTGGACGGGGGTGATCCATACTTCCCCCAAGTCCGGCGGATTATCCATATAAGAAAATCAAATACGCTTACCATTCATGCAATCTATGATAAACTGCACTTTTTCTGCATCTGAGTCAGGCAAGAGCATATGTAACCGATCTGTACTTGAAGGCGGTGTCCTTAAAATGGTACACACAGTCTAAAGATTCTGTTAATGATGGCTTAGGTATACTAAATTTGACAAAAATATTTGAGTGATAAGGCGTATACCTTTAAAAGGACACTGCATTGTGCTTGGGCTGCGGAGAGTGTGTATGTGTCAAAAAACTCAGCCTTGTAAATCATAGTCAGATAGGCCGACCGAGAAGAATTGAGAGTGTATAAAGAGAGCTGCACAGACAAGGTAGGTTCGGCTTTTAATTGATACCAAAATTCAGAAACCACAATGCAAGAATTAAAAAGGTTAAGCTTGCAATTTCCATTGTTTTATGGATATCAGTATATGAATTCAGTTCCCAGGTGAAACTAATTTGAGCTTTCATTCATTATACAGCGTAAGAGCACTTTGCTAAAAGTTTACAGGTGTCAATAATTAAGAGCAAGTTCTCTTTTTTTGGATAGCATTTTCATCTTATGTTACCTAACAGCCTTATTTTCACATTAAATTATGCTAGATAGAGATGACAGCAAACCTAAGATGAACGATATATCACGGCGAATAGCTACTTAAATAACCGGTGAGGAAAATTACAAAGGCCAAAACTGAAGAACACAGAGGGCTAAAGGATCATGAAACAAACTCATGGCAAGAAAAAAGACATAGGAATTTTCACAAAATACATCAAATCCAAATTTTGAGGCGTTGTTCTTCTTTTTACATGGGATTTGGCCAAAACGCCTAACCCAAGTCAAAACTTCACCAGTTTGGGACTGAGATAAAGAATCAAAGAACAATGTTGAAATAAACAAATTAAAGAAGAACCTTCTGAAGAATTTCATTCCTAGTTCACAATCTCTTGATTGCTTAAAAGAATATCAAATTCTGCTTCTAAAATGGTTGTAATGTGAAACCAAATAGAAATCCAGCAAACCCCATGATCCAGTATTGTAGTTTTCTATTTCCTCAAGTGCAAAAGAACCCATTGAAGCTTCAATGACAAAAATGATGAACTGAAATAATTAAAACACCCAAAACGCATAGTAAATAAAAGTGCTAATCTAGGAAACAGTTAATAATAAACCACAAACCAAACCCACAAATCTAATAAAGTCTGACAATTAGACCCAAAAATCTTCTCATAAAAATCAAATCCAATCAAGCTCATTGACCACCAAAGAATTAAGAACCCAAATTGGGAGAAGAAGAATATGTTTCTCCAGTAATTCTTCAACACCATTAAAAAGATTTTTATCAACTATAATAATAATAATAATAATAATAATAATAATAACAATAATAATAATAATCTGACAGTAGAAATGGAAGAGTTATTCAGCTGAAAATGAATCGTCTTGATAATTTTCTATGCTGTGAAAGTAGTTGATCAGAGAAAACCCATAACTAAGCATACGATACATTAAGAGAGAAAAATAACACTACGGAAGAATCAGACCGAAAGTTAGAGACAGAGAGAGTGGGGTTTACCAGAGAAGGAGAGACTTTGATGATGAGCTCGCTGCCAATGCGAGCGAGACATGTAATGGAGCGGGCGAAGGTCTTGAGGGCGTTCCCGCTCAAACTACACTCCATCTTTTTCAACTCATTCACTTCTTTCTCTCTCTAAATTATCTATCTACACTCTAAAATGTATTTCCCTTTGTACAGCCCAGAGAGAGAAATGGCGGGTAAAGAGAGAAAATGACCCAGAAAAAAAGAAAGAGACGGGTGCGGTTTGTACAGAGCCGAGGCGCTCTAAATAATGCGAGTAAAGCGCACCTTGAAATAGCATCGAGACACAATTTAGAACTTTTAGATTGGATACATGGGGGTTGCAATTATTTAACCGTTTGATGTAAATTTGATAGTTTAGATGTGTCATAAAATTCGAAATTTTTTTTTTAAAATTTAAATTTTGTAATGGAATAATTGCAGCCACTCAATTTGACATCCAATAGTCAAGATTAATGTGATCATATTGTATAAAAGGTAAATGGCTCCATTCTATACTTTATCATGTAAGGTTTCAATATTGGAAATCATTGTAGTAGCCTTAAAATATATTTTTATATATAATTATAAAATTGAAAGCTTTCAATAGCCTTAAAATATATTTTTATATTTAATTATAAAATTTCAAGCTTCTAAAATAGTGTAGATGGAACTGATCTATGAAACCTTAAATTTTTGAAAATTGACTGTCCAAAAATGCGTTGTAACATGTATTATTTTCAAAACTTGAAACCAATTTTTTTCTCATGTTCATGCATCTTGATGTTGTGATGATCAATTTGAGGATATTTGAGCATCAAAACAACATCTTCTAATAAAATTTTTGAAGTGGGATCTAATTTGATTATTTAAAACCTTTCAATAAACTTTTTCCAATAGGGACGGATATAAGTATTAAAAAGCCCAACTCTTATGGGTAAATTTCAATCAAAAAGATAAAGTTTCTGATTTCTGTGACTCACATTGTTTCGACGGTGATTAACCTTATGACCTTGTCTTTTTAATGATCATGTGGATCCTAATATAGTTTAGGCTTTTTAAACGTTGCTAAGTTTCACTAGTGCAAGTCAGAACCCGACCTGATATCAGGTCCATAGGACCTAGATCAGACCCATCAGTTCAAAAATAGGACCCAGATCCAAACCTCAATGGTCGACCTATCGGGTCCAAGAGTCGACACGACTCATTGACCCCCTATCCGAAGCATCCTGCACCTTCAACAATTCCACCCTAAACAAAGGGAATTGTACGGGATGGTGTGACCATATATGAAAATTGCTTATCGGCAGTCAAGATCTTTGGATACACAAAATTTAGATATGCCTCCTAATCTTGATATGCAGATTCTATTATATGATGCTTGAGTAGCTTCGGACCCGTTTATTTCAAGCGCGTATAAAACCATAGTCCAAGGGGAGCAAGTGTACACTTACTCCGTAGGAAAAGCAGCTTGAAAGTATTTTATCAATATAAGATTTTAATATATTCACTTTAGAATCACCAACGTTTATTTTTTAAAAATAAAATATTTTGGCATCTTATCTGATTACGCTTTTAACGAGTTTCATTTGGGTTCAGGCAATGTATAACTAAAAGAAAAAATTTAAAAAGAAAAGAAAAAGAGAGGGTAATTGGAAAAAGAAATTTAGAAGAATAAGAAAGAAGGAGAAAAGAAAAGAAATGAAATGGAACCCAACAAAGAGAACAAGAAAATCAACAAGTAAGCAGAAGAGAAAGAGCAGTGGGAGGAAGATAAGAAGTAAGAGAAGTTAACAAGGATTAGGTTTTAAAGTGGGAGGAAGATAAGAAGTAAGAGAAGTTAACAAGGATTAGGTTTTAACAAAGTTTCATGTTGGCTGCTTGCATGGCACCTCCCCCCTTCCTTTACCCCAATTTGAAATGAGTTAAAAGAAAGTTTAAGATCCTCACTTTTTTTAGACTAACAAGAGACGCTAACAAGTCGTCTGATTAACGTTTCATGTTCGATACATTTTTTCCAAACAACAACTATTTATCTTCATTTTATTTTTCAAACAACCAACCCTCACAAGTGGAATACATCCAATTTCACCATTGTTAATTTTAGCTGGCATTCATGCCTCCTACGGGAGTAGAATCTCTTTTGGCTTTCTGAGCACATATACTATGCTCATACCGGAGTATAGTTTATTTCTACTCCTCTTGTCATAAGGCCTAATTGGGAGGAACTAGATGATTATTCTCAACAAAAATAAAATAAAATGTTGAAATTTGAGTTTCTAACCCTTGATCTCACCATCTAAACATTAGATGGTCTCTATTCATCTCGAGACGATACATAGAGGGTACACTTTTAAGTAATTTTTCTATGAAAGTTAATCTATGGGCTGAGGAGATTACATCCCAAACTTTAGTCCTAAGATTAATTCTAGATAAGTTTTACCTGAGGGAGTCAATGGACATTCTACTCCCACAGGAGTACAATATCTTTTGGTTTTTCAAAGAGTTGCAATGTCACATTAAGTGAGACTCTTGCTACTTGCCCTTCTCTATTTTTATGCTACCACCATATTTTTTTAAGCGTGCTCTCAAATTCCTTTCCTCACCATTTCTTGCATCAAGTTTCAAGATTTTCGGTTAGTAGTGCCTCTCTTATTGCTTTCAATTGAATTTGGATTCAAAGTGACTTACACTCTTCCCGCAAGAGCCATAGACTCTCTCTCTCTCTTTGTAACAGCCATAGGCTCTTATGTCTGTCAAAAGAAACAAGCACGATAAAATCTAGAATTGAGTCTAGAACGTAACATTGCAAATCATCAAGCGCCAACCAATTAAGTCCAGGGCCTTTTCCTATGCCCACATGTATTTTGATTATTTCAAAACAGTAGTGTCATTCACTTCCAAACAATGGTGGCATTCCGCCTTTTGTTAGACTTACCATTCAAAAACCAAAGGAAGAAAAGAAGTAGATGATTTAGAGTCATACTGTAAGGAAACACTGTAAAAACCACCACAGATAAATAGGCAAATAAAGTAGTTTCAAAAACTTCAACAAACCTTTGGGTTCGTACACCAGGATTTGAATCCAGCACTTTCATCCAAATCCACTCAAAAGCAAAGCAGCAATCCAGTTACATTAATTTGTCCTTTGCCCCAGAAAGAAAAAAATTAAAGAAAAATTTGAACCTTAAAAGTAGTATATGGTAAAACTCTCTTTTTCGACAGTTAATTTTTAACTTTTCATAGTACAATGTTTTTTGAGCTGCAAGATCATGGATTTAAAGCAATGATGTGCTTTGAATGACTTAGGATGCGTTTAGATCCTGAATCCATGAAAAATCAGAGAGAACTCATGCGTCTAGAGACAGAATAAAGTTTTCTTTTTGAGATAACGGACGACAGAGAATAAACTTTTCCTTCTTTAGAACACCCAATTTCACCATAAGATTTTGTCAAAATCTCATTTAAATTAGGTAAGGCAAGTTTTCAACTCATATCTTTCATTACCTCCAACTTTTTTTCTTCCCCTGATTTCCTAAACCTATGTTTTGAATCTTTATGCAGCAATAAAGAGCAGAGCAGAGCATTAGCAACCCTGTTAATTTCCCAATATTCCGTTCTAGAACAAATTCCTATTGAACAAAATAAAGTTTCCTGAACCAAGAGACATTCTTAAGAAACCATTTTTCTCTTTTAAAGTGTTTCCCTCAAGAAACCACCACAATGAATGTCTAAGAACAACAGGCTAATTCAGTCAGATTAGCTTTATACCTGAATCTCTCAATGAATCTATAATGGCCTTTATTTTGCCATGGTATTTTTGCTCCCCCTTCAAGTAAACAGTGACAGCAGGAATGTCTTTCAGCAACAACCGATCCCCAAGGATCTTACCAATCTTGGCTGCAGCCTCAACATCTCGAGTGCATTGCATGCTATACCTTAACAACTTCTCTTGAGTGCTTGCAGAACAAGCGACTGTGGCAGTTGGGGTGTGAAAAACTTGGGCACTCACATATTTATTGGAGAAATTCATCTTTAGAACATAGGGCTTCAGGTACTTTATAATTCTAGGAGGTCTAACTGGTGGTGGGATAACCATCTTCGTCTCTTAAGGCAAAAGAACAAGACAAAGAAGGCAAAAGTGACAATCATATGAGCAAGTTGCTGAAAAAAGAAATAGTATGAAATCATATGAATTGGTTTAGGTAACAATGAACAATCCATAAACTGAAGAAAAACCGAAGATTCTCTAATAATATTTAGGCAAAAATTTAATATTTAGGCAAAACTTTGAAGGGACAGCCACTCAACTAGAAGAACATAATGGTGTGGTAGAGATGACAGATTTCATTTCACTAGGAATTAGGAAATATTGAAACCAAATATGAAAAGATCAGGCGTATAAACACGTAATTCAAGAGTAGGAGAAACTTGATCAATATGAGATATAAATAATGGAATCAGAATTATTTCAAAACTACTAGGAAGGGAAAAAAAATAAAAGAAAAAAGCAGATTAGCATATAAAACCCATATTATGTAGAGGATGGTCCTCAGACAGTGTGAATGTTCAGTAAGGATTTATGTTTGGGAAAGGTGTATTGTGATTTGGGAAAAAGCTTTGATGATGATGATGATGAAGAGCGTATTGAGATTTACAAAGTGGGAGTGCCTTCACTTCTTCTTTTATGTTATGGGATATATGAGAAACTCTAAGAAAGACTGCCATGGTTTTTAGAAGGAAATCCACATGATCTGAATTTTTAACACAAGGAAATAGGAAACGACATTGATCTGAGTGTTTTGGCACTCGCATTTTTCTCCCTTTAGAGAGGCAAAATCCAAGCTGGCCATTTAACCAACAAATGAGCAGCCATCCAAGCTGGCCTTCTAACTTTGTTCCAAAATTTTCTCCCAAGGAGCAGACTGACAGTTTCTTGAAAGTTGAAACAAAAATGGGGTAGAATTCGTTCTCAAGTGGGTTTCACGACCTCAATTTCTTTGAATGACTCCTGATGATACAAGGTTTCATTATACTTTGAGGGGTCAATTGATCTGAGACAAACTCCTATGAATCGGTCTGATTTAAGTAGTCCCAAATTTCAAGGTGAAGTATCAAAACAAAACATTAACAGCAAGATCCAAACTTCAAGGTGAAGAATCAAAATCTCATACAGCACGATCCAAATTTCTTCCAAAAGAACTAAAATAGCTAGATCCATATGATTCATGACAACAGACAATGATGGGATTTTTACTTGGTCTTGCTAATGGGACCAATAACTACATTGGTACCAGGAATGAGATTAAAAAAACCCCATTTGGCTTCTTGGAACATCCTGGAAATGCATTAAATCCCGTTTGGTGAGCATCTGGGTAGAACCCTGAAATATATTTTCACTGTTTGGCTCAGTTGTTTGTAAAACCTGGACTTGTAATAATTTGAATTTTTTTTTTCTCTTTATGCATTACTTTTTTGGCGATGTCGTGTAATTCTCACGTAAGAATTCGTCACATGGAATTGCTCTATCATCAGTATCACCATAGGACCAAAATTGACATAACAAAGAACTATGTTATCATTGATATCACAAGGCATCAATTTTATCATAAGTAACACAAACAACCAATTTACCATATATGCCATTCATTCAAACAAGTCCTATAGCAACTTTGTCAGCGAATGATGGTTCTCTGTTGTATAAAGTGTAGAATGTTGTTGGGCTACTTCTACAAAATTGTAGGCATTAGATATTGGTGTTTTTGTAGGGAAAGTTGCAGTATGATTTTGTTTTGTTTTGTTTATATTCTCAATTTATTCAATGTCAAAACGTGTTTCAAATTTCTATGCAATGACTGCAAGTATATGATACCAAAAGTATGGAAGGCTTTTCAGTTCTATTTATGCCAAGACTGTAAAAGAAACCTCAATATAAGCTGCAAAACAAAAAGAATGCTCAGATTCTTCACTATAAAAAATTAAGGGGACTTCATCAAGGCCATTTAATATACTACACAGATTTCATCATTAACAAGCTAAAAAAAAGAACAGAAACAGTGTCAGTAAGAGAAATAAAAGCAAAGCTCTATTGTCACAGAGAGACAAAACAAAACGCACTATTAAAGAGCTTAAAAAACACAGAAATGAACTATCAAAAAAGACACCATTAAAGAGATTAAAAACGCAGAAAAACGCAGCATTTACACAAATTCATCAGGAACAAGGAAAAATCAGAAAAATAATCATCACAAGAGATGCAAATTACCTGGATACTCAAACCGCTTGTAAATTCAAAACAGATATCTGGAGCCGGAGGGGGGACAGAGGATAGAGAGATGCTCTGCGTTAGGAGAGAGGAGACATTTGGGCAAAAAATGTGAGACCAAAATGAGTTTATTTACTTATCAAGTGGTAGCAAGGGCAGGGCTAGGGTTCACGGGGGTAGAAAGAGAGAGACAGAGAGAGAGGGGGGTTGTAGGAGAGAGAGAGGAGGGGGGGGTCCACATTTCTGGGATGTATAAATTTCTTAAGGCTCGTTTGGTTCCTGCGTAACAGTTTGCATATGTAAAACAGTTTTCATATTTAAACGGTTCCCTGTGCAAGAATTTTCCAATCTTGGTTTTTGCCATGTTTGGTTCACATGTCTGGAATTCCTATGTAACCAGTTTCTTATGTTTGGTAACCCATTGGTAAACTATTTCCCAGAATCTAGATTAATACCTACTTTTAACCGTTCTATTGCAATATAGATGATTTGATATTGACGGTCATCCAATTAAGATGATTCTTTTAAAACATTCAATCTATATTATGTTTAAAAAAAATGGATGGCTTAGATCACAAGTTTGGATCACTTTATTAAATTATACAAGCATCAAGCCTTGGTTAACTAATCCGTGCATTCTTTTTTTGTTTAATCTCTTTATCTTGTAAGATTAATGAAAAAATATTTCTAGTAATAAACTTCACAATAGTTTTTCCGTTCCAATGCATGAATACATCTTTAACGCATGATGTCCATATCCAATCTCGAAATGCATAAGAGGTACAAGCACAATAAAAAAAAAATGAAGAACGTTATACCATCACAACTACTACATCCTAAACCCTATTTCAATATCGTTCCCACATTGCATTAGCAAATCCATCACGTAACTCTGTAGAAATGTCATCCCAGCTCTGATGAGCTACTCTGATGATAAGGCCTTCATACATTCACCCTCTACACTAGGGGTAGGTATAGAAGTAGAGGCAAGGGCAGAAGCAGAGCAACCACCCTATCAAGTGCCTCGTATGTATGATTGGAAGAGGTAGGATAACAGTTTATCAATCCATCTATGAATTCTCCCCTTGAAATATTTTTTGAGTTTTTCAACTAAAATTTCACTTTTCCTTTCATTGGAAAAGTCCATTTTGACTCTCACAAGAAATCATATATAATGTTAACAGCTAGCAGGGCATGTAGTTAAGATTCTCTTGCAAGGATTGGTGTTGTTGATAATGCTAACAGCTAGCAAGACATGTAATCAAGATTAAACACATGTAGCTTATGACATTTATCACCCAAATAATTAAAGTTCACAATTTACCAATGATAACTTTGAAAGTAGACCATCTAATAACATAAAAATCAGCATCAAATTAAATGAAATAATGGTGGGGCATGATATAAGGTGTAAGACATGACTACAGATGCATTGAAAAGAAAAAAAAGGTTTCCAGACATCTAACGACAATGGCAACCATTATTATTAACAAGAATCATGCTAGCTAAGTTCAGCATACCTTTTCAAAATACACTTTTCCACATATGTTATCAAATAAAAAATGGTGTCTAGAAAATTTGAAATATTTAATGAAATGTCTCAAATTTGACAACAGTTCTAATTAAAAGAATCGAAGGAAAGCATTTGCTTCCAAACATTCACTATTTCTGCTCATCATATAAACCAATCCATCAATCAGTTGGTCCTCACACAAAAGTAACGATGGGTTTCCTAAGAGAACATTGGACTTGAAATAGAAAACGTTCAATATCTCTGCGCTTTCATAATCACACAATTCAAATAGAAGCGACCCCTAAAATTGTAGTCCCATCAAGGGACCAAATCCTACAAATGACCATATATGACTCCTAGTCAAGAATTATCAGATCACAGCTAAAATCTAGAATATAGATTCTCCTGGTTGGTGGAATTCCCACACACAACAATGAAGGTTCCAAGGCAAATCATAGTAGACAGCGATTCTTCAGTGATGCAACTCTTCTCTGCGTTGCTTACTCCAAATATTTGACTATAAGAATCAAACTACACTAGATTGTCCCTGTAGGATACTTGTTTATGTCATGGCGTTCTAACATATGAGAAAAATTGGCTTCTAAGGATACACAATATCGCATTAGGGATATAGCTAGACAAAGAGAAGGATATCATTGTTATCAAGGTAAATCTGAAATGGATATCATTGTTATCAAGGTAGATCTCATTACATTTTTCTTTCGTGCTTTTTTGTTCAAAGATATATTTCTCTTTCATGTTACATTATATTTCTATAATAAAGATCTTAATTGCCCCAAAGAGATAGGTAAAAAAATACATAGAGACACCATGCCACCATAGGCTTATTACTACAAAGAACAATTGCTCTTAATAGAGTACCTCAATCACTCATACACATGGATATTGCAGCCATGGAAGTATGCCATTTATTCTCTGAGTCAACCTCTGCTAATTTCATAAAATCTAATTCCCTTTAAAACATAGTTTGCGAAAGAATGTAATACACATACAAGAAACCACCAATGCTCTCTGAGAAAAACCATAAGCAGCAAGAATTCAGAACAGGTCAAAAACCATAAACTAAGGACATGGAAATTTTCTTTCATTTCTTCAAATTTTCATGTCAATGAACAAATAAAAAGTTCATAGCCTGCCACAACTTTTAGTCCTTGCTTGTAAAGAACGATTTCAGTTAAAAGCTAACTCATCCTACAACTAAATGAACCTCTGGATTCTTCCAATGAAATGACTAAGACCTGAACTTCAAAAATTAAAGAAATACAAAAGATTCTCGCAATAAAGCATCATTACATCAGCACTAAAAGCAATCAAAATCACTGCTCCTCAATTTCCAAGTGATCCCAAAACCCTAGAAATTGTCTTTAGAGTCTTGCGCAACCTAGGCCCCATATTTGTAAAAGAAAAACATGATCGAACAAACAAATGAAAGATTTTAAACATTTTGGAGCTCTTGACTCCTCAGGGATCACTGGACCTAAAGTTTCCCTTTTCTTTTTTTTGATTAATCAGACCTAAAGTTCTTCTTTGTGCCACCAATTTGCAGAGCAAACAAAACCCAATAGGATAGGAAAATACACAGAAATATTACTCGAAAATCCCATTGATCTCACTGATATTGCTGAAAACAATCAACTGCACTAAAATTTCAAAAGTGAAATTTTTAAGGTATAAAATTCATAACCAAAAGGACATGAAATTGACCTGTAAGCGTTGGACCAAAGTAAAGCTTGGAGCTTCAAAAAAATGGCGGACTTAGAATGAGATTTTGTTCCATAACTGGCAGAAACAATGGCGTTGCTCTCTCTCTACCATAGCCTTTCGCATGGGTATTATAGAGCAAAAATTGCGCTTCTAAACAACACAAAAGACCAGCAAGAAATAAACAAGAAAAAACAGAAAAAATATAACAAAAAGAAACCCATACCCACATTTCTACAGAGAAAATTGTGCTCCTATACTCAATACAATAAGCCAAAAATGAAAAAGCCACAAATTTCCATGGGGAAATTATAAAAAAAAAAAAAAATGATTGCATTGGTGATTAAAAAAATCAGCACCAGTAACCAGGAAAATCACAAGAATAAAACCCATACCTTTGTTGAAGAAAATGAGGTACTTATATGAGGGTTCGTATGAGAGAAACCCTAACTTGTTTGGTGAAGAATATTTACAATGAGGAAAAACCAGCAAAAAAAAAAAAAGAACACCAGCCAAAAAAAGAAGCAACCCTACCTTGTTGAAGAAGATGAAAGCTTGTAAATGGATCCTCGTTTGAAGAAGAAGATGAGGTACTTGTGTACGGCCTGCAAAATGGACCCGCGCTTGTAGGTTTGAGAGAGAGAGAGAGAGAGAGAGAGAGAGAGAGAGAGGACGCAGGGGGTTGAGAGCGAGAGAACGCCAGGGGGTTGAGAGAGAGTGACGAGGGAGGAACTTATTTTCCGAAGTGGGATTACATTTTCGCACCGTTTGCTCCTTGTGTTTCATGTTGCAAGTTTTCATACGAACTAAATGAGAGTGAGAAAAGGCATGGTTTGGGTCGGTGACGAAAGTCAAATTGAAGACGGGTCAAAGAGTTTTTATTCTGATTAATTTGTGGTCTTGCAGGACCACCAAACCTGATGGGTGGGTTCACCAAAGGGGATAGGTGTAATTGGACTAAATTTTAAATATACAAATAAAAACTATGCGGATCAACATGCCTAAACTAATTAAACATTAATTTTGATTAATTTTCAACTCAAAATCTAACGCAGGCACTCTCCAGTCAGGTCTTGATAATTAGATTAGAAATCATTTTTGGTAGGTAATAGCATATACACAGGCACAGGGACATGACATACGCACAATGCATATGGGGGCATGATGGAACAAGAACTGGTGGTCCGCTCTAGGTGCACCGCTTCCATTCGGCTAGGCTGATCCTCATGTGTATTAGTAATAGGTTTTTAAGTAATATCAATCATTTAAAACCCTGGTGATTCCTTATCCGAATTGTGAATCCAGATTGGAATTAATAAGGGACCAAATAAGTTTCAGAATAGTATGGGTCCAGCGTGGTTCCCTCCTAAAACCTCCCCTTTCATATTTTTTTCTTTTTCATAAGCTTATGCAATATTTTTTTAGGCCCTTGAAATCTCTTCCCCACAACCTCATGTTCATTCTTATTTATTTTATTTACTTTTTAATATTTTTTGAATCATTGATTCGAGTTGATCCAAACTCAATCCAGATCACCGATCCAATAATCAAACATGGATCTATAATCAACGATCCGGCCAACCGATTGCAGTTTTGAAACACTAGGTAATATTATGCACATGCACAAGGATACTGACAAGGCGCATGGCAAAAAATGAAATTAACTCATAAAATTGGGTGCGTATTTGGTGGTCCAGCCCATCCACATGACCAGGGCCCCCCAAAATATGGTAAAAAGCCTTCAAATCATCATCAATAGCCCTGAAGATCAATTCTATTAGAAAATATAACTTTAGCACAAAAAAAGTGCTCCAAATATGGACCCTCAACTGCCCATTTGAGGGACACTTTTCGAGAGCTCAAAAGCTTCTATGCATGTTTTTGAATGATACGCGTCGCAAATCAAAGTTGATATGAAAGTTATGGGATAAAAAAGATCTCCCCTACGTGTTTTGGAGGCTAGAGCAGCTAATTATATGGTCAGGCTAGAGACCATATGACATTTTTTCTCTAAAAGTATGTTTCAATTAGGGATTGTCTCTCTTTCTTTCTCTTGTGTCACATTCATTTTTGTCCCTTGAATTTCAAAATGAATAATTACGAGAGTATCATTGAATAGACACGTAGTTCCAAAAAATAATATTCTCAAACTTCGTAACTCATCCCAAACCATCCAATTTGAAATATAAAATGTGAGAATGATTGTAACCTCCATGTATGAAAGATAAATGGTCCCTTCCAATTAACTCCCCCCAACACCAAAAAAACAAACAAAAAAAAAAGAGATAAAAAGATAAAATTTCCTCCTCTTTTGTGAGAGAAAAACTCTATTGAAATTATTTTCTTCTCGATCCTAAGCTCTTTAACATTTTCATGTTTTTGGCTAAGTCTAAGAGGTCACCATCTTGATTAAAAAATAAATCACTTTATTTAGCTTTATTACTAATATTTCTTTAAGATTATCTTACTTCAATCCATTAATTTTTCATGTCCATTAACATTGTTTGTTTTAAATCGAGATTCTATGTGAAGTTTGTTTACAAGACACAGATTGCACTTATAAAACAGGGATCAAAGTTCCCCATTTAGTTAAAAAAAATTAGAAAATGGGTAGGAAATAATAGAATTGAACAATGAATTTCGAATGGAATTTTTACAGAAACTAATTTTCATGAACCCCAAGCATTGAAGCAATTCCTAGTAAAAAAAAAGAAGTTATCGTTCTAGTTTGCTGAATAATGCTTCCATTGGGGGCAGCTCCTGAACAATCTGTTGCCAGTCAGGCATGCCCTGCAAGGAGTGTCTCTAAAATGTCAAAAAAGTAATTAAAAATTGGAGAAGAATAACTGAATAATGTTAAATTATGAACTTTCTTCCTATAGTCACATACAATTAAAAGTGTAGCCTTTGTGAAATCACAATTTGGAGGCAAGGGAAAAACCGTTTGCGTTACAGGGTGGATTTATGCATATAAATCTATAGCAAATGTGGTAACTGAGATGATATTAATTTAAGGATGATAAAGGGATACAAAAAGGTTTTCATATTGTGAACACACCCTTCCTGATCTTCTTACTCGCCCATCGAGACGCAAGATTATGTAGACATCCTCCCCAGGTGTGACACCCTCTGAAGTTTGTTGATCACGTATCCATCTAAAAAACCATGAGAAATTATAAATAGAAATATTAATTTAATCCTTCAAAAATACACTGCTAGCCCAACCAAGACAAATATAAACCATCATAGAAATTCATGTCTAAGACACAGAAAAGAATATATAGACCATCAACAGAATTCATGTTTAAAACTAAGAAAAGTGTATAATATATAGATTGCTTCAGCCAGTAGAAATAACTTGGAGGAAGGCTAGGAAGCAACAGTTGCAGAGACACATTATTTAAAGTTTGTGAGGTGCACAACTCAACAAAATCTTAGAAGGGGTTTATACACAATCTTAAAAGGTGCACAACTTCAGGCATGCCTCATCTGTGATGATTCATCCCGCACTCCGCAGGCAAGGGAACTTGGGAGTCTGGGTTGGGAAAGAAACAATGGCATCAGTAGTAGCTAATGAGAAAAAGGGAAGGGGTGGGTACTTAAGTATTAATTATAATTTACCAACAATACCCCTTCATATAATAAAACACAATTTCATGACCAAGCAATAATAATTTAATATTATTAACTAAATAAAAATTAGAGTTATGCTGCACTTCCAACCAGAATCCAGACCTAATGGTCAAGAAATCCATCATGGGGAATCAGATGAAAGTGAATTTATTACACAATAGCAACCCAGGGATTAACGGGTCACAGTTACCAGGCGAGACAGTGCATCTTGGATGGAAAGTTACAGATGAGGCATGGCATCTTATTTCGTCCTAAAATAGATGGTTCTAGTTAAAAATATACACCAGAACAATTTAAGGTTTCTAATTATGGTTCAAATCTGAAAAGCAGTCGCTACAAGGACAAGTAATGAACTTTGTATCACAGGATTTAGATAAATAATGTACTTAAGATTATTTTTTTTAGGTATTTAGAAGATTAAAATTAGGTCAATTTGGTCTTCTTTTTAGAGAGTTTAGGAATTTCCGGATCTTTGGTTGTCGGTGAAATTTTAGGAGTATCATGTCATGGCTAATGTTTGGCAAATGATCGGCTAGGCCATAAAAATGATAAGCGTTTTGGGAGTCAAGTCCGCTATTAGGGTATTCTTTTGTCGTAAATAGATGTATTGCTTTTTGTAAAGAGGAAACAAAACTTGGATTATATTTTGGTCTTGTAAAGAGTTCTTAATGTAGATTCCCTTTAGGGTTTTCTTTTTCATAAATAGATGTATTGCTTTTTGTAAAGAGCAAACAAAACTTGGATTATATTTTGGTCTTGCAAAGAGTTCTTAATGTAGATTCCCTTGCAGGCCCAGAGAGGACCAAATCTCTCAACTTTGGGGTGGACGCCTTTGTAGATCCTTTGAGAGGATATATTCTCTCGAATATATGATATTTTCCTTCACTTTTCCTACATCACGATTGACTATAGATATTTTTTTCCCCTAAAACAACAAAAACATCACTTTGAGAAATCCTAATTAGTATGAGAGTGATGCAGCTCAGAATTTTGCTCTCGAGTATCTAAATAAGAGAGACGAGCATAAAATTTACAAGACGAACCACATAAGGGCAAAACAGTCATTGAATCTGTCCTTTTATGTTTTTTATTTAATAATTTTATTTACTTAGGGGCATAAGTAGTAATTTCTAATGCCTTTTATGTCTTTTATTCACTTAAAGTCTTTTATAATAAATGGTTAGGATTAAATTAGTTGGATGGCCAGGATTAAGTCTTGTTTAGAGTTTTCTTATATAAGAGATGTACTCAAGCACAATGCATCTTGTTATAGACTTTTAGTTAAAACCCGAGAGCAGTAAGTGCTCCTTCCTTTATCTCTTTTTTTTTAATATTTCTCTAATTTTGGATATTCCCTATCTTCTTCTTTGCTAAATCTTAGCTCCAAGCAACTAGTCTACGCCAGAGAACTTGAGAAATAGGGAAGATTGCATACCTTGAGATTACTACCCCTAAGAAAAAGCATACAAACAAGCCATATATGAATAATAATTAGATAAATAAAAATATATTCTAGAATTTACATACAAATATTCTATCTTGAGTTGTAGAGCATATATCCATAGAAAAATACATGTGTTATTCTTTTATGAAAAGTTTGTCAGAGATTGATGGTCACATATGTGAAGTTAGAATGATCCAATCAACAAGTTTGTTAAAAATCATATGCTCAAGCATTATTCTTATCAATCTTCTAAAAACATTCTGATGCACTTGAGAATTGAATTGAGGGGGATCCCTAGAACATACCTTCTAGTGAATTTATGAATACAATACATTTTTTAACACGTTCAACAAACAAGAATTGAAAAATTATTTTAAGCAATTGGCTGCCAACCTAAAAATTACATCAACATAACAGTTGCAGCTCAAACGGACAGTGGACCATGGATGAAATCTGCGAGAAGTTGATGCAGATTAGCTGATAATTGGCTCTCATCATGTTTGAGAAATAGAGACCAACTCATCGAACGGATGTTGGATGTGATTTCCCAAAAAGAAAAGGGGTAAGGGGGGGTTGGGGGCTGGGTGTTGGATGTGTTTGATGTCTTTGAGGCTTTCTTAAAGAAATCCAGTGCGTAAACTTGGTGCGGAGGAGTATAATGTGCTATCCTTACTGTGCAGGTTCAGAAGAGGAGGCTCAGCCTTGGGTTTCAGCTTCTTTACAAGTTAGCTTGTGGACACAAAATTCTCACTCTATATCCTCTTTAGTACAGACACACAATATTGCCCCCATTTTCTACGAAGCCCTGAATGAAATGGTGGACCATTTGTTGCACTACCGCAACTATAGCTGTAAGGCATTTTCCAGAAATAATTAAAATATGATTGGGCTATACCCATTAGTTGTTTATTGCAAGTATAGGTTGGGTTATAAAAGCTAGAATGAGTATTCAGTTTTGTGGTGCCCTGCTTTCCTAGACCACCATGTAATGCATTCCGAAGGAAAGGTAGAATGTTCTTATGCAAAGCCCATGATCTAGACATTGAGATCATTAAACAGGACATTATTACGTGGGCCAATCATGGTACGATCTAATGTAGGACTCCGCTACCAAAAAAGTCACAAAACTTAACTATGATGGGGCTGCCAACAGAAATACTAGCAATAAGGAACATGAAAACCAATGAAACCCCAGATGGCATTAAGATCAAAACGTCATTGTTCTTGAGCCTACATGCCATTAGGGTGATTTGCTAAATATCGGTCGGCGATCAAAACGAGTGTCTACAGTTTCATGGAAACCGGGCAGGTTATTGTTTTTAATGCTTTCATGGTGCTTTTTGGCAACTTCTATTAGAGTTTATTATTTATAAAGTTTACTTATCAAAGAAAGTTATGTTTCATTAGTTTGCCCCATTGTCGTATATTGTTTAGGAAAATGAAGAGATTGAAGAACATGTGACACATAGAATTAGAGCTGGGTAGGTGAAAGAGATGTGTAACCGGAGTTTTATGTGATCGCCACTAAAGAAGCTGAAGGGCAAGTTCTATAGGATAGCTGTGAGAAAGCTTTGCTTATGGGGTGGAATGTAGGGTGGTCAAGAAACAACATACCCATAGAATGAGTGTAGCTAAGATGAGGATATTGAGATGGATGAATGGCAACACAAGAACGGATAAATTGATAGAATTAGAAATGAATACATTATGAAGAATTTAGGTGTGGCACCAATAGGCGATAAGTTGAGATCAAGTAGAATTAGGTGTGCTAGCCATGTGCAGCGCAGACCAGTACAACAGTTGTTAGGAGGTGCAAGTTAGTTCAAGTGGATTGCTTAAAAAGGGCAAAGGTACTGGAAGTAATGAAAAAAGATATCTCACTGAGGGTGTGGCCCTTACAAGAGCAGAATAGCGGACCGAGATTCGCGTAGCCGACCTCAATTAGTTGGAAAAAGGCTTTGATGATGATGGTGATTATAAATTATTTAGGAACAATTATAGCAATCCATATTTAGAGAAATTGGGTCCCTATTGTCAGATGCCTTACATGATCTAAGTATGCAACAGTTAGCATCTAGGAATTCTATTCCATATGGTTGCCTAGGCTTTCAATCAGTGATCAAGTGCCATTAATAATGTTGTTCCTTTCCTCATTTCCACATCACTATTAAGATTGATTTCATGATCAGTAATACATACACCATATAGAGAAGCATGGGTGCTTCAGTGGAGACTAAGCAAATTTGAACATTAAATGCAAGTGTACAAAATCTAGGAAAGCTCTTTTAAGTCTTAACATATATTATGTGATGTAGGAAATTCTCCTTCCCAGAGTAGGGTAAATTCTCAAATGATTCTCAACATGACCTTGTTCTTCTTATGATTTATAGAACCTGATCTCCAAAAGATAGTACACCTGCAACACTTTCAAGTTGACTCCAAAGACCATCTTATTTTAGAGTAGGATAACAGATTCATGACCTAATCATTAGGGCCTTTACAAGCATAATAGGGCGTGTTTTGACAACCTTGTAGTTTAGAGCAAATGAAAAATGAAAATATTAACGTTGATAAGAGGACCATTGTAACAGGTAATGATATAACAAGATGAAAATAATTGGAACATAAAGAAACATCATTGATGCACCCTATTTTGAAAAACTAAGACTGCTGACCTTTTCCATTCCTCTGGTGAAACAATCTCAGCTTTAAAACGCAACTCTGCCTTCAAACGAGACTTTGCAATTATGGACTGAGTCCGTTTTTCAAATTCTTCCTAAGATAACACCACCACAATTAGTAAGATGCATGACAAGATATTCTCCACATAAGCTAGAGCGCTACATAACTGCTTGGTAAATTTTGGACATTCCATCAAAAATATTTTTCTTTGAGTAAATCAAATATTTTAATTCCAAAAAGACAAGACAAAATTCGAATACAAAAACTTCGCTTGGCTTACACCAAAAAACAATGTGTGATAACAATGGACTATAGTGGTGGACAGTTCTCTTTAGAAGCTAAACAAGAATCCCCTGAAGTGCAAGGAGATATACCACGTGAAAGTAGGCGGGGTAGAGTGATTGCAAGAACTGTTCAAGATTAATAATTAAAGGAAAGAACTTGTATTGTAAGAAACAGCAGCACTTTTTCCATCAAAGAGTGCAGCTTTTTTATTCAAAAATAAATTTCTGGGGGGGAAAAAGCAATTCAAACCTTACACAAACTTCTAAGAATTACTTCACACATAATACCAGAAGCATTAAAATAGATACACATCTTCCTCATGATTATAATAATGGGGTCAAAGGAATATTTGAACATCAAAATACCATAACTTGGTAAAAGGCCACAATAATAAAATGAGAAATAACTGTCAATGAGTTTGTATAGAATTTGTAGCAGACTTAACATTCATGAATAAGAACACAATACTCTCCAGGAAAACACGTCAGCATGAAGAAAAGCCTTTTTGCTGGGAAAAAAATTTGTTTACCACGATATAGCTCATATTTTCTAATTATTAGAGATATTGTAAGTGTACACACAGAAACCTTCGACACAAAGGAGAAATCAGTTTAAATATAGGCATCTTAGCTCCTCACCCCAAGTGATGGTAGAGAGCTAGATGCTTTTTCTGGGACCCCAAACCCTTTTCTATCTGTTAACTGCTTTTTGTCATCATCCCATGTAACAGGGACAAGAAGAACACCTCGTCTGAGAAGTTCAGTTCGGAACCTCTCAGCCTTCTCAACGGCTCTTGAGACTGACTCTTTCGTTCCAGCCAAAATGACCTAATGATAATCACTTAAGGACATGTTAGTTATAAGTACTAAAACATAAAAGATCATTTAGAGCAGAAGAATAACACTCACTGGCCTGCTTGTATCTCTTAGCTGTACAAGTTCAACAATTCGATTCGTAGATAGCCGCAAAGGTAGCCTTGACAGTGTTTCATCTCGCATTATTTGTGCAATCTGCTCCTCTTCTTTTCTGTTATCCCAAATAAATAAGGCCACAAGAACAACAATGCCTGCAAAGTGCTGATTCAAGAGCTTAGACAATTCAAGACATGCATTAATAGTTTGATTTCTTTGATGAGGTCTGAACAGCTAACTCACATTTAAAAAGATCACTTAGTTCAAAATCATCAAAATCAATGTCATGCAGTGTCAGAGAAAAATGTAAATTAAAGATCAGGAATGACTTTCTTTTATCATTAAAACAGAAGAACAACAGATCCTCTTATTTCTCAGGAATGACTTTCTTTTATCAGGAATGACATATTACAATAGTATATGCCTACCTAGATATGTCCAGATGTGATCTCTTGATCACTAGTTGCTACTTTTTTAATGAGTGCTAACTTTGTTTCATGATGTACATATGACATTAACGGACCATAATTAATGATATGGAAGAATTACTATTACATCTACAAAGATAGTACCAAAACAGAAAACAGACTGAGATTCTAGAGCAGCTCTTCCTCCTCACCTCCAATATTGATGGCAGCATTTGTCGCAGTCTCCCAAATATCAGGAGCACCCTCCCCACCCTGAATTGCACGAATAAGTCTAGGAACAGTAAAAAAGGTTGAAATACCAGCAGCTGCAGTGAAAGCAACATAGAAAAATCTTCTAACACCACGAAATGGTGCTTGGACCTCACTTATTAACTTGAGATCTTTCCTTAAACTGTCTCCAGTGTCTTCACCACCCAGCCTTGCCTAAAGCCAAGCAAAGCCATAAGATATAAGGCTAATGGGTATAAAGATTGCATGATGACAATGATTTTTACCAAAGAAAAAAATTTAGCAAACCAGAAAATCTTCTCCGACTTTCCAATGAATGAATCTTAGTAAATACTCGATGAACCAAGAAACTCATGTGCCTTTATGTCAACAAGGTGCTAATGGGCTATAAGTAACTAAGTAAATCGAAAAAACCTATTGACTAAAGAAGACGTTTGCATCTGGGAAAACAATCTGATAAAGAGAATTGCTGAGCCCTTCAGATGCAAAAAGTGCAAGAAGAAATCCTATGGATTAAAAAAAACAAATAAATTCTAAGAAAAACCTCTTCTTGCAATTCTTTGAACTCTGGTGAAGCTCTAAAAGAGGCCAAATCAGGGTCATTCAAAATAGTGCTGAACTTGAGATTATAATCTCGCAATGCTTTTCTCAAAGCATCTGCAGCCTTCTTTATTTCTCCCCTGTGTAAAAAATATTCAAAACAATTAGGTCCAATTATCAGTGTAAATATCAGCAACCAAGATTTCCTTTTACAAGGAATTAATTTCATACAAAAAGCCCCAAAGAGTGAATAGATACATACATACCCATTTCCAATGTAACTACAACAGAGTCTTAATTAAGCAAGAAATACTTATTATATAAAAAATAATATCCACTGAATTTGAGAACCCCATTTGAGCTTGAAAGAGAGAGAGGGAGAGAGAAGGAGGAGAGGAAGCAAGCACCCAATTTGGGCCATTGGAGAGAGAGAAATTGAAAGGGGGAAGAACCCACTTTAGTTAGACAGCAAAATACGCAATACAATCTAGAGAAGCAATAGAGGAAGAGAAGGTAAGAACTGAGACTGACAAGTTTAGGTCCTGGGGATGATCTGATGCAATATGAAAATTGGGGGCCTTATGTGTTCATGTGCATGCATGCATGTGCACGTTTGCATTTCCGTGTGTGTATAGATACAAAGATAGATAGAGAGAGAGAGAGAGAGAGACGAGATAGATAGAGAGAGAGAGAGAGAGAGAGAAGAAGAAGTACGAGTAAAGTAAAATAATATACTATACGTCCGACCGACGTACTAACGTAAGGTAGGGTAAGGGTAACGGAACGAAGTACGTAGACGACGAC